GGCCGACGGGAGCGCCGCTGTTTACTTCCAAGGTTTCGGCGCCACCCTCGATGCCGGTGCCGGCGGCGACCCTGCCGCCGCCGCCGCCACCGCGCGGCGGCGGCGGCGGCGGGTGCCGCCATCGGGAAACGACCCCGTATGGGAAAACGCGGAATCCCACCCCGCTGGCGCTGTGCGTAAGGCCCACGACAGCGTCCTATTACCCAGAGTGCCACTGCCAACGCCACCGCCGCCGTCGCTGCCGCCTGCACTGACACCGCTACTGCCGACGACGACAATGGCGCTTCTTGCACCACCTCCCCTGAGCCCCATCTCTCGACCGTACGGCACATAAACAGGGGCGCAGACATCGTACCCGCTGCCTGTGCTGGGAATCTGCGGTACGGCATCAGCATCCAGGGCTGTGACACCGTCTGTCGTTCGTCGCGATGTGATACTGTCGCCGCCAACGCCGCTTACGTTTGCTGGGTGCGCAGGGCCTTCGACAAGCCCCCGGGGTGGAGCTTCAACCTGCGTCGCGACCGGTGCGTACGGCAGCTGGTTCGTTGGTCTGGCTGCCGCCGCCATTACCGCCGCACCTACCGGCGCCAGGCCCGATGGTGGCGGCGGCGGCGGCGGCGGCAGCGGCGGCGGCTCCGCGATGTCTGAGGGCCTCTGCGGCACCCGATTGACGCCGCATCCGTCCCGTACATCGCCGCTCGCTGTAACGCCTTCCGCCGCAGCGTCTGTCGGCGGTGATAGCTGTACGGGAGTTGTCGGCGGCGCTGGCGGCGACTGCGTGGCGACGGCGGCGGGAGAGGGGGCGGCGGTAGCAGTGGACGAGATCGATGACATTGACGTCAGCAACTGCCTGTGAGATCCGCCGCCGCCGCCGCCCGACAAGGCGGGCGGGTGTTGGGCCCTGGCGGCGCCGTGAGGACTTGGATGGTAGCTTGGAAGCGACCTCACGGTTTGTGAGCAGGCGGAGAGGGTGGAGACGGCCGCACCCGACCACGTGCTGAAGGGAGCTGCGGGGGAGGGAGATAGGGAGGGGGGAGAGACGAGCAAAGGATGGAGTTATGGAGGGGCGGCGGCGGG